AAAACAATGAAAATCTATCAACTGTGGACGTAGTGAGGCCAAATAAACATCAGCCAATAGATAACGAGGCTCCCTCTTTATCTATTGGCTGTTAGGTTGTCAATCAAACTCCCTATGTTTCTAGCGTTATTGACTCGCTGACTCGCAGGGATTTCATGGTTTATGCAGCGGTTCTTAGAGGTTTTTTCAAACTGTCGCTTTCTTGCAATTCACACAAAGTTTGTCGCGATGGCGGACGAGAATCCACGGCCAGTTCACCGCAAAATAAAGTCAATTTTTGAGGTCACTGAAAGAAGAAGAGAAGGGGAAAAGGAGCGAAGACAAACTGAGGTGATTCTTGGAGATTCCTTCCAGCGATGGTGCGACTGAAGCAGACGAAGGGTCTAAAGACTGACGCATCGGTCACTAAAATATTTCTAGACAAGTGACTTCAACAGTAATTCTGAACATGCACTGGCTGTAAACAAGCGTGATTTCTAGAGTAAAGAGGCGGGAGGAGGTGTTTCTACTGAGGCTGTGGAGGAGGAAGATGAATCCGTGTATCATTCGTTCATTCGTTTTTCAATATAAAACCAAAAATAAGAAAACAAAAAAACAACAGTTTTCTTCGTTATTTGTCTCCAAAACCAAAATTTAAAAAATGGATAACGATTTGTTTTTTTCAGTTTTCGATTTTGTGTTTAAATGAAGAAGGGAAAAAAATGGATAACGGCCGTTTCCCATTTACGTGACTTCAGTGACTGTGATGCCGAACTTTTGCACCGCATACGGACTGAACCAGGACTGATCCAGGTCCGAGACCAGAGCGGGACTGAGACCGGAACCAGACCAGGACCAGAGCGTCACTGAGACCGGGACCAGACCGGGACCAGGGCGGACTCCGAGCTTTGACTCTGAACCTCCACGGGGTCCGAGCCTCAGCTTCGAGCTCCGGCCCTGCAGTGGGCTCTGAGCCTCCGGTCTGGTCCCGGTCTGGTCCTGGTCTTGTCTCGGTCTCGGTCTCAGTAGCGCTCTGGTCCCGGTCTGGTCCCGGACCTGGTCCATTTGAACAAAAAACTCTTAGTTCGATTCATTTTCATTGGTGTGAAAGCGTCAGTCGGAGGCTTTGCACCTCGGAACCAGCCGCGGTTCTTGAGCGCGGAGAACCAGAGCAGCTCTGTCCCGGTCTCAGTCCTGCTCTGGTCTCGGACCTGGATCAGTCCTGGTTCAGTCCGTATGCGGTGCAAAAGTTCGGCATCACAGTCACTGAAGTCACGTAAACGGGAAACGGCCGTTATCCGTTTTTTCCATTCTTCATTTAAACACAAAATCGAAAACTGAAAAAAACGAATCGTTATCCGTTTTTTCATTTTGGTTTTGGAGACAAATAACGAAGAAAACTGTTGTTTTTTCGTTTTCTTATTTTTGGTTTTATATTGAAAAACGAATGAACGAATGATACGGATTAAGATGGTGTCACACATGCACAACATTTGAAAAAGGACTGTCGCTGTATTTCACTTCCCTTAAAAAATCCTCTATACAACCTTTAAATGCAGGATTTCTCAAGTTATTTTGACGCAAAATACAAAAACATGTTGTGGTGATTTAGGGACGACAGGTGGATACAGGTGATAAATCATAGAACTGGAAGAAAATCTGGAGCTGAACCCAAAAGACGGCGTCGTGTTGTTTTCAGTGGTTTGTGCTCGTTGGCGCATGGGCACAAAAATTATTTTCTCTTCCGCATTTACTCCTTCAACACACCTAAACACCGTATGTCAAACACAACTGCTGCACTGACTAAAAGGCAGAGAACTAAACCAGGTCTAAACCAAGACTAAACCAGGACTAAACCAAGACTAAAAAAGGACTAAACCAGGTCTAAACCAAGACTAAAAAAGGACTAAACCAGGACTAAAAAAGGACTAAACCAGGTCTAAACCAAGACTAAACCAGGTCTAAACCAAGACTAAACCAGGTCTAAAGGTCTAAAAAGACTAAACCAAGGACTAAACCACAGGTCTAAACCAAGACTAAAAAAGGACTAAACCAGGTCTAAACCAAGACTAAAAAAAAAGGACTAAACCAGGTCTAAACCAAGACTAAAAAAGGACTAAACCAGGTCTAAACCAAGACTAAAAATGGACTAAACCAGGTCTAAACCAAGACTAAAAAAGGACTAAACAAGACTAAAACCAGGTCTAAACCAAGACTAAAAAAGGACTAAACCAGGTCTAAACCAAGACTAAAAAAGGACTAAACCAGGTCTAAACCAAGACTAAAAAAAAAAACTAGACTAAAAAAGGACTAAACCTAAAAAGGACTTCTAAACCAAGACTAAAAAAGGACTAAACCAGGTCTAAACTAAACCAGGACTAAAAAAGGACTAAACCAGGTCTAAACCAAGACTAAAAAAGGACTAAACCAGGTCTAAACCAAGACTAAAAAAGGACTAAACCAGAGACTAAAAAAGGACTAAACCAGGTCTAAACCAAGACTAAAAAAGGAAAGACTAAAAAGACTAAAAAGGACTAAACCAAGACTAAAAAAGGACTAAACCAGGTCTAAACCAAGACTAAAAAAGGACTAAACCAGGTCTAAACCAAGACTAAAAAAGGACTAAACCAGGACTAAAAATGGACTAAACCAGGACTACCAGGACCGGTCTGTGGTGAATAAAAGTTTGGGTGTTTACTGGTGTAACAAATATCCACACTTCAGCCTTCAGTTTGTGTCAGAAACACTTGGCTGTGATCAGCGCAGACCTGTGTGATGTCACCAACTACAAGCAGCTGCCGTGACGACCGAAGGCACCACACGGTCAGTTTTATAGCCTATGTTTTTTTTAGCCAGTCTGGTGCCACCTAGTGCCTCCGTTTAGTTTCATTTCTCTCCAGCAACAAAGTCAGGAATCAGAATCCACTAGACGGTTTACAGAAAACCCCGAAAGTGCAAGTTCAGGCACCAGCCAATCAGCGAAGAGACATATATTCTGTGTTGGCAACGATTAATGAGATCGAGGATTTAAAGCCGGAATAAAGAGAATGTTTGGTGAATTTGATCAAAGATGTTATTGTCCTTCCCCGTTAGTGGTGCATTACATACGTCACAACCAAACAGCAGCAACTGGTTAAATAAAAAAAGTACCCGCCTACAGTCGAGCGAACAAATCCTAACGCTGCGAGGTCAGACAGTTTCTACGAAGTGAAACCGGCTGAATCAGTCTAACTCATTTTAGCTTTCAAAAGAAACTGAACATAGGAATGCCTTAGAAGGGGAACAGTTAGAAACCTATAAAACATAAACCTTTATTCTTGTGTTAGTGTACAAAGTTAGGCATGAAAATGATATATTTACAATGGCAGTTCTTCAAATTTGAGTCATTCAGTGCAATATGTATAATACAGAAATCTTTTGGTGAGCTGTTTGGAAGGGGATGGAGAGCTACTGGCAACTCTCAAGCTACAGGTTGGACACCCATGGCTCACAGGCTTTAACACAAAGTTATACATTTACTTAGTTTACAGTCAAAATTTCCCAAAAATGGCAACAGAAGATAATGCTATTCAGGGTCTGTTTACATGAGAACACTTGCGGGTAAAAAAACAACAAAAATATATTGTTGAAAGTGCCTTTTGTTTAGACGGTGACGGCGTTTTTGGGGCTTAAAAACGCAAAAATCTGAAACCAGCCTCCAGAGTGGAAAAGATGAAGTCGTCTACACTGCCCAAGATGCAAAACTCTGGTCAGATCTGCTCAGGTTGCGTACACATTTACATCACATACATCACCACCTAGAGTCACGATATTACACAAGAATTCCACACATGTTGCGCACGTTGAACAGATTTCCTCCTGAAAATCTCTCGTCTAAATGCGGAATAAAAAGCGAAGATGCGACGCCGCTTTTGCATCTTCTGTTCAGACCGTCATCATATAAACGTAGCCTAAATCTTCATATACCAGTTAAGTAGCAAAAAGGTGTTCACATTGAGTGTGTACACATGCACATCAGTATCCCGGTTATTAGCCATATCCCGGTTCTGTCAGTATTCGTGTGTTACTGTGTTTACATGCGCACTGAGAAACCGGGACACTCATATCCGCGTGTACATGATCAAATGGAGTGTCCCGGTTTCTTGACATAATCTTACAAATGCGCAGGCGCAAAAATTAACTTAAATCAATTTCATAAACCAGGAAAAATACAAACTGTGAGCTTCTTTAGCATAAGAAGCTAAGGAGCTACGAGATCTCCCACAATCCACTGCACACATCAAACCAACAGATTCTTCATTAAAAATCTTCTGCATAAATAAACTCAACTTTACAACATATAAACCATAAAGACTATAGACACATCAGCCGTTTGATCAAATAATTCAGCTCTGATCACATTTGTTTATGTTTTACAGAAACGAAACTTAAGACCGTAGGCTAATTAGCATAAACTGTTAGCGGCGATAAAACAACTCGCTCCTTGCGCCGCTGATGCGATCAGTTTCTTTTGGACTAAAACACGACTCTGTGGATTATGTGTGTTATTTCTGTGACAGAAGAGGTGCTGATGATGGTAAAGTGTGTTCTGTGCATATAGAGGAATAGGAGATAGTTCATGTTTTAGCTTTTCAGCGTCACACGAGTGCAGGTCGTACGTGCAGATTGTACATGTGCAGGTTTAGCACAGCTCTTTATTTTACAGTCATTTCACTCGTTTGGTCACTTTATTTATGTTGGTCAATTTATTTATGTGACTACTGTTGTGGTGAAAGGCTGGAAAGTGTCTTTTGGACGCATGCGACTCAACTTTATGTTTACATGCACCATCAAGAAACCGGGATACTCAAAAAACCCGATCATAACCGGGTTACTGATGTGCATGTGTACGCACTCATTAAGTAAATTCAGACCTTTAATGTAAAGATGATTTCCTGTTTTACGTGCGGGTTTCGCGGTTCCGTTTGTGATTATAACGTGTCAGATTAAAGAGAGTTTGTCGTTTTTTTTGTGCGTTGTACCTTTGTGTTCGTGTGCGCTGCTCACGTGCATCCTCTTCTGACACTCGGCACAGCTCATGAGGAATCGAGTGACGGCCTCACGGGGAAGAAACGCGTACGTCTCTGCGATCTGGAAAGACAAATAAATCAGAATGTGTTTACACTGTGCAGGCGAGGTCATCAACAATCTGAGAGTGTGAGACGCTGGATGGACGCGCTGCTCCGTCTGCAGCTCTGTTACTCAAGTTAAGCTTTGTTTTATCGATCTGACCAGAAAGAGACGACACTTGGTGGTTTTATTGTTTGTTTTATTAGGTTCCCCCATCCTCTTCCTGGGATCATCTCAAAAATAATAACTACACAGTGAAATTAATTATACTTACACTATTGAATAATTACATTTACACAATAGGCGAGTTTCAGCTGACGTCATTGTTATTAAAAGCCCGCGTTGCTGCTGGGAAATATTTTGATCAGAGGCAAGAAACAGGATAGCGTCAAACACAGTGCGTAACCTCGCGTATTTATCCCCGATAATGGTAAATTCCTGCTGCATTATCGGATGCACAAATAGAAGCACGGAAGAAGAAAAATGTCTTTTTCGTATTCTGAGTGAAAAGAACCACTAACGGTGAATTAAACGACTTTCAAACATCCGCAGAGCAAACGTAGAAGATCCTAACAAACCGTGGACTCCAACAAGTTCAACAACACATCGAGACTCTTGGAGGTTTTCATCTTTTCTGCTGTGAATGGCCCAGGAGTTTCCACCAAGTCATTGTGGATATCCATCCATCCATTTTCTTCCGATTATCCGGGGCCGGGTCGCGGGGGCAGCAGCCTAAGCAGGGACTCCCAGAGTTCCTTCACCCCAGACACTTCCTCCAGCTCCTCCAGGGGACCCCAAGGTGTTCCCAGGCCAGCAGAGAGACATAGTCCCTCCAGTGTGTCCTGGGTCTTCCCCGGGGCCTCCTCCCGGTGGGACATGCCCGGAACAACTCCCGAGGGAGACGCCCAGGAGGCATCCAGAACAGATGCCCTGAGCCTCAACTGGCTCCTCTCGACGTGGAGGAGCAGCGGCTCTACTCCGAGCTCCTCCCGTGTGACTGAGCTCCTCACCCTATCTCTAAGGGAGCGCCCAGCCACCCTGCGGAGGAAACTCATTTCGAGCGCTTGTATCCGCGATCTTGTCCTTTCGGTCACTACCCAGAGCTCATGACCAGAGGTGAGAGTAGGAACGAAGACTGACCGGTAAATCGAGAGCTTCGCCTTTCGACTCAGCTCCTCTTCACCACAACGGTCCGATACAGCGACCGCATCACTGCACTGATCCACCTGTCAATCTCACGCTCCGTCCTCCCCTCACTCGTGAACAAGACCCTGAGATACTTGAACTCCTGGATATCACCAAAGTGAATATTTGGCCAGGTAGTGATTTGTCGTCCGTCGATGCTTATGACCAATTTCTGGTCAAATGGTCTTGGGTCCTCTGCCGTTAGAGTGGATAAATAACCGGGATCAATACCCTTTACGTGCTTTCTCGCTCCGTCCGTCATGTTCAATTAGTGTTTCTTGCCGCCGACCAAAATAATTCCCAACATGCAACGCGCGCTTTTGTCAACAATGAAACTCGCCTATTGAATAAAAATGAGCAGTAATAAGGACAATGTTAATAAAGAAAATCAAAGAAAATGAGAGCGTATCTTTGAAACTTGTTCACATGGTCGTCTGCAGTAATTGTATTGTTAATTTTCTTTAGTTTATATTTAAGTCCAGTTGTGCAGGGAGCTGATTCCAGTCAAATATGACTCTAGAACGACTCTGTGGAGACTGGAGACTTTTGTGTTGCTGTGAGGAAGTTTAAGATCAGAACGATCTGTCCACTGGGTGGACACACAGTGGGATCTGTCCACTTCACATTGAAAATGGTGTTGGTCAGTAGTGACATTCAATGAAATTTTCTTAATCGATCGTGGGAAGAATTAACAATCGATTATCGATTAATCATTAACGTTTTTATATTAAAATGATCATCATTATTATTTCTATCTGCACTACTAATCTGCAGAAATAAATTCAACTTTACGACATATAAACCGTAACGACTCTAGAGCCACATCAGCCCGTTTGACATTATAATGTGTTTAATTCAGTTTTTGTGCAAACTCTCACAGAAACAAAACTTAAAACCACATGGCTAATTTGCATAAACTCAGCAAAGATAAAACTCCAGCTCTTGTGTCGCTGATGTGGTTCAACTTCTGTCGGATTAAAAGACATGACTCAGTTTAATACAGGTTAGTTTGAACATATTTGCGTTTGTCAAAACCAGGACAGCGTACGGGGGGAGGGGGGCGGGGCCTCGTCATCCACATTGAGCGACTCTCACCTGGAAAAACTTTTTCCCTCTGGACACAGAAACATATGTGCTGCTTTATACACTGTGCACATGGACTCACACTTGTCCCCAACGCAACAGAAAGTGTGGAATTTCTTGTACAAATCATTCTTTAAATACACATTTGTGCTTCGGTTACGTTACAGACTGACCCACTGTTTGTGTCTCGCTCCTTCTGATGCAGAGACACATGTACACACCTGTTTGGTCACGATACACACAGCAACATACATTCAGTTTGTCGATTAAAATTAACGTAATCGATGAAATTCTTAATGATCAATTATCGATTAATCGATTAATCATGCCCATCCCTAGTCAGAGGGGCTGATGCCGCACATTGGCAGCCTCACTTCCGTCAGTCTGCCCCAAGGCAGCTGTGGCTACAGTAGTAGTTTACCACCACTGAGTGTTGAGTGAATGAATAATGATCTGTAGGGGTGTAACGATATCCAAGTGTCACAATATGATATCGTCACGGTATGAACCTCACAGTTCGATATTTATTGCGATATCGTGGGAAAGCTCACGATTAGGGATGTAACAATATCCAAATCTCTCTGTAGGATATTTTCATGATATACATCTCATGGTACAATATTTAGTGATATTTTGAGGAGGCTAAACTGCTAAAACTGTTAATATTTTACTTTTCCCTCTTAAAATGCCTTGACAAGACAAAAAAGTGTTAGAAATGTTATTTCTTCTTGTCGTCTGCACTGAAATGGAGCAAAGGATCATGGTCTATGTAGTCTCTCTAATTTTTTTTTTTTTTTTTAGCTATGGCTGCACCAAAATTCTTAATTTAAGCAAAGAGACCGATATATTATGATGATCCACGATATTTATATATATATGGTGAGAACTTTGACGATTCGATATCACGATATTTCGGTTTTTGTTACATCCCCAATGATCCGTAAAGCGTCTTTGTGACGTCTGTTTGTGAAAAACGCTTTATAAATAAAAACTTACTTCTTCTCTTCTGGTCTTATTTTTGACAGGAAATAACTTTTCAGCAGAAATGATGGATGTTCTAAAAATACAGATTTCCAAATGAATAAGACAAGACGTGGATGTAGAACAAATGAGCTGATAAAGAAGTCCCTCTCAAATAACATCACAGTCACACACTAGATAGACAGCCGACAGATTTTTAGTTAGTCGCTCTCACCTTTTAGTGTAAAATCAAACTCATAAACAGGACAGAACACTGGAAAGTCCTGCTGAAGTCTTCTGCTTCCCCTCAATGAGTTTTTCCTCAAAGTATCCTGACTTCTCAAAACCTGAGCTGTACTGAGCATGTGCGAACTCAAGTAACAGACACAGCACGATCAGTTACTTTCCCAAAACGACTCAAACTCCTACAGGACTTTTTAAGTGATAATATGTTATACTTACAAACAAAATAAAGCAGTCTAGTGTTTAATAAAGTCACATTTAAACACCAAGCTCACCTCTGTGTTTGTTTGGCTCTTGAATTAAAGGTTGTATGGAGGATTTTTTTTTTGTTTCAAATTGTCAATGATAGATAGATGCAACTGACCACCTCTGGACGCTAAAATTTGCCAATAGATGACTGTGAGCACTGTCAATCAAACTCCTACATTTCTAGTGTAACTGACTTGCCTGCGCCGCCACGTGTTTACGTAACTTCACGCAGTCCACAGAAAGCCGCACAGTTTACTCCACAACGCAACAGTTCAGCGGCTTTTTTGACCTATATCTCCTCGCAGTTCGCACAAAGTTTGTTGCAATGGCGACAAGAACGACAGTTCGCCGCAAAAGAAAGTTTTTGAGGTCGCTGAAAGAAGAAGACAAGGGGAAAAGCAGCGAAGCCAAACTAAGGTGATTCTTATGATTCATTTGGCGCGACTTTAAAGACTGAGCACTGTCCACAAATTATGGACAGGAAACTTCTGCTTATTATGAAAACGTACTTTATTTCCAAGAGCTACACAAACGTTTTCAGGACACGAAACGAAATGTCTAAACGTAATAAGGCAGTCTAGTAGTTCATTCGCACTAATCTAAATCCCGCTGCCCGTCACCTCATTTAAACACCAAGCTGTTTCACTACTCTGTGTTTGAATTAAAGTTGGCTCTTGAATTAAAGGACCCATCTCAAGCAAAATCAACTTTTCACAGCTTTCTACCTTCTAAGAGTGATGTGTGGGCCTTGTATATGTCGCCCAAGTGGTTTTTAGATTGATTCAGCATTTTTTTTTTTTTTTTTTTTATTTCTGCCACCCTCCCACGTGACAACGAACTAAAGCTGCTACAACGATGACGCGGCAGATACACCTATGACACATGAACAAAGGCTTAATTAATAATGAACAAAGACTTAATTAATAATGATTCACGCTTAGTAAATGCTTAATAAAGGATAATTCGTCTTCACTTTAGAAAAGCTCTCAAAAAGACTTAACTAACAGATAACAGCTGCCTGAATTATCATTGCATTGCATTATTAGTAAATCATTCTCTCATAGTTTACTAATGATTAATAAATGCACAAATGGTTAGTTCATGAGTAATTAAGTATGAAATAATTATGAGTAACTGTTTACAGCACAGGCAAATGAAGTGCAAGTGCTAATTAAGGTAGTAATTAAGAAGTTACTAAGCGTGAATCATTATTAATTAAATCTTTGTTCATTATTAATTAAGCCTTTGTTCATGCTTTATTAAGGCTAAATAAGGTGTAGTTATTATAAAGTGTTACTGAA